ATACATACATACATACATACATACATACATACATACATACAATCTATCTATCATCTCTCTATCTATCTTCGAAGTCTTCCCTCCAGTCACCTAAAGTGAGACCACTGGCAACAAGAGGACCTCCTTGGAGACAATGCTGGTCAGGTTATGAAAAGCTTTCTCCAGGGAAGTTTCTCTGGGGTCTAATGTCTTACTGGCTGGATGCCAAGGGAATCTTGCTTGTTCCTGATCTTATAAGAATTGCAAGCTATTGTGTGGCTAAGTCTGATGTTGCTTTTATTTGCTGATATTACTATTCTTGATTTTCATTGCAATGCATCTGGCTTTTAATAAGCTTGTAAACCATTCCCTTAAAAAAGCTTTGAGCAGAAGAATGAAATTGATTTTAAAAAAAATATGCAGAATTGCTCATTGCCAAATTTCTCTATTTACTTTTGAGCTCACCCTATCTCAAGTAAGTTATGAATCAGCCTTCTTCATCCTGTCACCCTTTAATTGTGTCAGACCAACTCAGTCTGAGTCACCATATTTGCTAGCTAAAGCTGGCTAAAAATTATGGGCACCCAACATATTTGTCCCAGGTTTGGAGAAAGATGCTATAAATATTATTTTGTCATCCTTCAGATAGTTCTCACCCAACCCAACTAGGTTAGACCAGCTCCATCTGCCTCTCTTTCATGTCTTGTATCTCCAATTATTTCATTAAGATTACTTAGCCAGTTCTCCTCCATAGCTTCTTTCTCCTTGGTGGCTAGTTCCTTCATTCCTCCTTCCTTGGCTTTCAGCAATTTTTGGGGATTTCACTGGCTGGAGAAAGCATAATTTGACCACAACTGCCTGCCTTTCATTCCATATTTAGAAGGAGGGGTTTGAAATCTTGCCTTGATTCCTTCCCACAACTCATGTGTTGGGCTCAAGTTGCAGAGTATCAGCTTAGAGTACACATATTCAAATCATTATACCACACAGCTCTTCAGTCTTAGGAAGTACCCAAACCCAAGCCTTTGACCTCTCCCTGCCAGGGCAGCTAATAATTTCTGTGTGCCAACTTCTCAATGTTATTTCCTTTGGCATACCATGTTGGATGATCCCATGTTCAAGGAGAGTTTGGCAGAGTTCTGTAGCCTCCTTCCGGTTTGCAACCTCCCCTTCCTCAACCAGCCAGTCAACCATCTCACAGCCCAGAAAAGCCCTCTGGTATTTTACCAGGTTCTCTTCTCTGACTTTCAGAATGGAGTTGTCCATGCTGATCAGCCTACAGTCAACCAACGAGAAGACAAAGAAACAAGGACATCAGCTGATCTAGACATGCAACAAGATACTGTCTCAATGAGGCAGCACTACTTTAGAATACAGGTAAGGAAGGATACAACTTTGAATTTTTCCCTGTATTTATTTTATTTTTAACTCCAGCTGATACTGTCATCAGTGCATGACTGATGATGTAGAGAACTTCCTACAGTGATGGCAATCATTCATGGTGAAAACATGTCCAGAGGTAATCATTTGTTCCAAAATGGATCAGCAAAATTAAAAGAGAGAAAGCGTAGAACAGGTGTTCAAGTATTGTACAGTACCTCCAATCATGGAATTCCCCCTCCAGTTTTTGCCTCCTGAAAAGGGGAGTCAAAATGGTCAGAATGTTGGTGCTCAGACCAGTCTGGAAACAGAAGCTGGATCTTAGGATAAATGAGCCCTCATCCCAGCTTCCAGATGAGAGGAAACCATGCCACCCATAGAAGGCATTCCCAAACTTTTGGGGCTGGTGGGCACATTTGGAACAATCAGTGCACGTGGGAACTGTCACAAAATCGTGCCTGGGTGGGCTTATCCATTCACAAAATATCTACAAAACATTGGTTGACCAGAATCTGATCTGTACCCTGTTTAGCAGACAGTTTCTGCTATTTTGTCCTTCTGAGCTGCTTTTTATTCTAAAAAGAGTATTGGTCTTTTTTGGAGATTTTGGAGCATTCTGGAAAATGAAAATGGGTCTGGTGACTGGAAAGTTCCTTGGCAGCATGCCACTTCTCATTTAAAAAAATAATACATGGAAGTGTATTTGGCACCATATGGAAGGTACTAAATGCCTAGTTGGGAACTGTACAGGGGCCTATTGACACCCATTGCAGACCTCAGTTTTTAGGACATTCAAAACAAGATTTTCTAACTGAAGTCCAATTTGGGTGCTCCTTCCTTTACATTCCACAGTAATTCAAAGCCATGTCAGATGAAAAATGAGGGAGCAGAAATGTGTCCTCCTTGAGGATTTTTAGATCGGTTCTAATCCATCTACCACCACTGGAGGGCGGTCCAAGCCTACTTTAGTTCTCTATTTTTTATTATCATCATGGTTGATCGCACAGTCAACTGTGACTGGATTTGGCATTTTTATCGAGTCCTTCCCAAGAACCTGGAATAGGCAGATATTGTTGTTTGGTGTTATTATTTGTACCTTCAGGTCAGTTGTTGACTCTTGGCAAGTGCCGGGATGAGTCCCTGCAGTTTTCTTGGCAAGGTTTTTCAGAAGTGGTTTGCCAAGTTATGACAAAGCACAGGAATATCCTACCAGTTTGCACCAAGGGTTCTGCCATGTCTCAATCAGCATGCTTAATCAAGCAAAACTCTTTGCAGAAGGAAGCATGGCTGAGTGGATCCCCAGCGTCATCAAAAATGGCAACGCGCTGGGGATTGGTAATGACTGCCAGCTCTGGAACCTGAGAAGCAACATTTGCCATTTTGTCTTCCTTTTCCAGCCATTATAGATTGAGAGCATTACGGGACTCCTATCATTCTCTCTCCCTTCCTACCTTTTCAAACTTGTTTGCTCCCCAAAGAAATGTAAACCTAAAACTGTAAGAATTAACAATGCATTGTGCAAATAGGTACTTACTTTTATCTGTCCTAATTTTCCTGCATTTCATCTTAGATGGCTCTTTTAGTAATATGAAAGAGGAAAAAATGGCCTCTGTTGATTTCCTCTACAGCTTGCATCATTTTTAATAGCCTTCTTTTGCACTGTTATTTTTCTAAACTAAATGCCCCCAATCCTTTAATGTTTAGTTTTAAAAACCCTCCTCTACATTTCCCTTTCATAATTTTAATTGCTCTCTTCTGAACTTGCACCATTAAAAAAAAAAGATTGGATTAGGAAACTTGAATTGAACTGAAACTACTCTTCCAAAAATAAATGGAAACCTTCTTATACAAATACAAAATCTGTATTGTCCCATAGATTTGGGACAATACAGATTTCTGTGCCCCAGCCTCTGTCTCTCCTTTATGAATAAGCTTAGTGGTAGATGATCACTGTCTGACAGACGCCAACTGGGAATCCATTTATTGAATAAAGCAATTTTAAAAAAACTGTTGATGTCCTGTTCCCTCTCCAAAAATTAAATTCCCGATCTCCACCGCCAGACATGTTAAGGACGAGCAAATTTAATCTACTTGCTAATAGGGCTAAATATAGCATTACTGAATTATACTGCTTCCCCATTTATCTTATATCAGTGTCAACTAAATCTTGTTTAATATAAAGTTAAAGATACTCTCAGATCCAGCTTAGCTCCTAATGACTCCATCCATCCAGCTTTCTTTGCCATGATATAGAACTGGGGCACCAGTTCCTCCTTGTGGGATGTTTTCTGATTTCCCAGTCTAACCAACAGCCCTATTATTCCCAAGGGAACTCCTACCTAACCATGCAAGGGGCTAAACTACTAACTGAGACCTTAAGATTCAAGGATACAAAGAAAACTAATTTATTTTTCACTGTATCGTCCCAATTACCGGGTCAAACTTCCAATAGGTAGTGTTTAAGAGGGTTAAATTTCTTAGATATGGAGAGCTTTCTCCAACTTTGTATATCAATAAGGAGGAACAACTGGATCAGATCTGCCAAAACTCACTAGCTCTCTCTCTCTCTCTCTCTCTCTCTTTTTGCAGAACCATCTAGATTTAAAATCCTATGAAATATCCTCGGTAGTCTAAATGTTGCTTTGGCCAAAATGGGTTTTAGCAAAAAGGACCCTAACTGCTAATTAAAATATTTCCAGAGCTCGCTCTCTGCATCCAGATGAAGCAATAAAGGCCCTCCTGCACTTAAAAACAGGAATGTCAGGTAAGGAGATGACAAAGGCTGATTGTGACCTTATAATTAAAGGAATCCTCCCATTTTTGGAGACTAATAAATCTTGGCCTGGCAGATAGGGATCTGAGATTGCACTTCTGCATTCCACATGAGATGTAGGAACATCCCTTTGAGGTCATTCCATTCAATGTTAGATGGTGAAACCTGATTTTGGCACATTGATTCCCCACCCCCACCCCCCAGTGATCAAACAGTTGAGATCCCCATTGACTGGGGACAGGCAACTGAGGTCTATATATATGAAAAAGGAAAAAGGAAATAAACATTACAAATTATACAGCCATTAGTCTACTGAGCATCAATAGCATATTGATGAGCAAGCAGACTTTGGGGTTGGTGGGTGTCTGCAACCCATTACCTAATAATAAATTAACTTATGGGGGAAAGTACGGCTAGATTCTTCAGCTTTTGGTAAAGAAACATGGGATGTTCAGTCTGAAGAAAGTGGGATGTTCAGTCTGATGAAAAGAAGGCATAGAGGAGAGATGACAGCCCTCTTCAGGCACCTAAAGGGGAGCTACAGAGAATATAGTCAAGAATTATTTTTCACAGC